TCTCCACAGCTCGCTGCAACCATTTTATTCCCCCAAGCCTCACATCCATCCGCACATCCCCTCGCCTTCTCGTGGCGCACGTGTCCATCCCGTACCCAGACCAGCTACATCCTTTATGGTCTCCCATTCACTAAATGTTTCCCTGATAACCTGCTTCCCGGCCTGCCCTAAATGAGCTCCAGCCCCCCTTTACTTATATCCTTACACCCCTCCCTAAACCTCTTATGTGTCTTGGTTATTTCTGGGCTAATTCTCACACACCCTCACCGCATGTATTTTAATGTGTGATAGTCTTAGGCTATTTTGCGCAAAGATGAACTTCCACCACTTACTTTGCATTTTGACAAGGGCATTTTGATTTCTTGAAAGTAGTGTCCCAGATGCTCTGCTCCCGGGACTGACTCTTTTGTTGCAGTTTTGGGAAGCTAATACAATATGAGCATATTCCTGCATCAAACAATGTATGTGGGCTATGAGAAATAAAATGACCATTAGGAAAAAAATATTTGTGCTGTATGTATTAAAGTGATGTTCAGTGAGCATCACTGGAGGAAACTTTACAATATATGGATGTATGCCACAGGATTTGGAATCAAAACAATTAGGTCTTTTTTTTTTTTGCTATGAAATATTAAAAGTAGACACAAAAGTAGAAAAAAGTAGATGTACATATATCCATCGCCTAAACTCAGCAGTTATAAAGATTTTACATTTGCTTTACCCCTCCCCCTCACCAAAAATTTTTAAAGCAAGTCCTAGAAATTGTCTTTTCACCCCTGTATACTTAAAAGGTGTATCTCTAACATAATTTTTTACTCTGTTCTGTCACATTTTTTTCAACATTAGTTGGACATCGCATGGGAAATATGGAACTATGATAGTGAAAGGAATGTTTATTGGTTCTTTACTCATAATATTGATCTAGATTTTGCAATTTAAAAATAAAGTTCAGGTTGGAGTTTGTTAAGATGTTTTCTTCATCTTTACTCTCTTGGCTCTTAAAGGAAATGCTAACTTTTCTTCTTTCAGTTTTGTGAAGAGTTTAAAGAAAAGTGCCCTATCTGTGTCCCCTGTGGCTTGAGGTTGGCTGAGAAAACACAAATGGCCATCGTCAGACATTTTGGCCTTCAGATCCTGGAACACGTTGTCAAGTAAGGAGCTTTTGGACATTATCACAGAAGTCTGTGAGAGAGCAAATCTTTATTTCTTATATAACTCATAGAGATACTCTTAAGGTGAGTAGAAAAGAGCAGTTCCCAAAAAGAAAGGATTGATCCCCGAGAGGTTATCACAACCTCATGGGAGCTCTCATTAAGGACTTAACCTTCCTCTTCTTCAATTTCTTCATCCATGTAAAGTTCATGGTACATGCTAAGTGTTCTACAAATATTAGCCGGTAGTCATTCAGCCAGCATTTACTGAGCTCCTACTGTATGCCAGCAGACTTTAAAGTCTTTTTAGAATAATGCAGCATGTAGGTAAATAAATCTGATTAGGCACTGTGCCTTTAATTTTTTTTTTTTTTTTTAAATTTTAGTGTGTGCCTTCTCTGAATGGCAAATCCAAAGCAGGGTGATATGAGAATAACTGAAAATCCTTCCTAACTTGAGTCTCCTACTCCCAGGGCCTATCAGAAGAATCAGTTTTTAAGATTTAACCAGTTTTTCTGGAATTGTGCTACTACCTTGTAAACCAGCATAGAAAGGGAGTTAGTTGTATCAAGATTTTATTTTCTGAAAAGCAACTACATTGTTGCAGTTGTCTTAGATGTGTATTTGCTTTTGGTCTGTCAGGAAGATCAAGGGGAAAGCTGATCTGTGCACAAATCCTATGTGGATTCCAATGAATGGACCACTGCCTATATAAAACTCTCAAGAATTTTTCTTTTGTTAGCAGTTTGATTAAATGTAGACTGTTTTTGTCTGTTCTTTGAAGGGCATGAAATTGAAAGTATAACTTCTTAATGAAATCACCAACTTACTCTTAACACAGGAATCAAAGCTAGTTTCTTATGAGAGAAGACTGCTAATGTCGTTCTGTTGACTTTATGCATTTTGGTGGCCAGGTTTCGATGGAACAGCATGTCTCGATTGGAGAAGGTCTATCTGAAGAACAGTGTCATGGAGCTGATTGAAAATGTAAGGAATGATTGGTTGGAAGACTTGTGTTTCCAAGGTAGTTTAGACAAAGTGTGACTTCTTCAATGTAGCATTTGTTTAAAAATTCACTGGTTCTGCATATGTCAAACAGCATGCTTTGTATGATATGAAATGTTACCTTCAAGGTAAAAAGAACCACGATCACAAATCATAATTCATCACATTTCTCTTACTAGATTTAATTAATTCTTTATGCGTGACTTCTGTTTGAAAACGATAAAGACAGGGCAGAGGAGATAAAACATTTTCAGCAAATAAATAAGATTCTTAGATCTCAATTAGATTTCACTTAGCTGTTTGTTTCATTTTATTCCAAACTTATTTATCCCAAATGTACTGTATGATTGTAATAGTAAAAAAAATGCAGAATGAATTTGTTTCAGGAGTTAGAATATGGCTTTAAACATGTTTAAAATCCACAGCCCTTTTTCTTCTTTTTTATAAAGGGTGTGAAAAATGGAATTCCCACCCCTTTTTATCTTCAAAATATGGTGCTTTTAATAGAAAAAAAAATTTCCTTCAAAATTGTTAATTAACTTAGGTAGGATTTGTATTTTGCTAGTTCTGGGGAAACTCAACAGAAGTCATAATTCATTAATCTTGATATCAAACTAAAGAGAGTCCCAGTAATAGTTTTTCTGTACTTTCTAATACTAGACTGTTGGTAAAATATTCAGGTGCTCCTTGTACCTCCCATTTTGTCAGCCCTCAGTTACTCCTTATTTCTGTATTCTTTGACCCTGGCCCTCTTATAAGAGTCTTTTCAGTTTCTAAAGGAGAATAATGATGCCTTCCGTGCTGTGCGTGACAGCCATTTTATTAGCTGGTGCAACTCTCAATTAAGATTAGCATGAATGCAGGACAAGTGACTCAGACATGGAGGACAGGTTTGTTTATTCTGTTTAGTTTAAAAGCAGACCTGATGAGTTTTTACCCTTTTATAGCCCAGTTTTTTCCTTGAATTCAGTCTTGCAGATCTCTTAATGTCTTGCATTCTTTTTCAGGGTACACTGAACATTTTGGAAGAAGAGAACCATATTAAAGATGTTCTGTCTCGAATTGTAGTAGAAATGATCAAGCGGGAGTGGCCACAGCACTGGCCTGACATGCTAATAGAATTGGACACTCTTTCCAAACAAGGGGTATGAAATACAACTACCAATTTCGGGTTTTTGTCCCCACCCTCCCCCACTTTCAGGAGTTTGTTTGTTTTGTCAATAGAAAAGAGCCTTTCAGCATACATATAATAAAAAATGTTTTAGTTTAACTAGCTTATTTCTGTTGATACAGGAAACACAGACAGAATTAGTGATGTTCATTCTTTTGAGACTGGCAGAGGACGTAGTGACCTTTCATACACTGCCCTTTCAAAGAAGAAGGGATATCCAGCAAACATTAACCCAGAACATGGAAAGGATCTTCAGTTTTCTACTTAACACACTTCAAGAAAATGTAAACAAGTATCGGCAAGTGGTAAGGGATACCCCACCTCCCCAAAGCTCTATTTTTTTAATATGAATGGGGTTTTTTGTTTGTTTGTTTGTTTGAAGTTAAAACGAGTCTTCAGTGAGGAACTAGGGTGTCTAGTTCAGCAAAAGAAAAGGCTATTTTTTAAGCAAAAAAGAAACGGATGCCGGGAAAAACAAGAACTGATTTTTTTAAGAAATTCAGTTCAACGAGTTTCCATGTCTACTAGAAAAAAGTAATTTTATAGTAATAAAAATCTTTAAATAGTATAAAAATGAAGGTTAATTCTTAATATTGGAAAGCCCAGATTTCTGATAGGTCAGGGTAGTGTCCCTGTCAAACTCTGATGTCCCATTTAGTCCTGGTCCCTTTTATAGTGTAAACTATGCCAAGTTTTATTAATCTTGACTCTGTGCTTCCAGGTAAGTCTTTTGCAGAAGGGCAAGCCAGATATTCTCTTTCCAACCATTGTCATTTTTAGCAGAGAACCTCCAAAAGAAGGCAGTGTGAAAGTTAACCTAGTATAGAGGTCCTCATTGGGGCAGTTTTGCCCTCCAGGTTGTCTCAAGATGGTACTGGCATCTAGTGGGTAGAGGCCAGGGATACTGCTAAACATTCTATAATGCACAGAACAGTCCCCACAATAAAGAATTATTCAACCTGAAAT